CTTCGCCTTAGCTGTTCCAATGTAATAAGGGTTAACCGGAGAGGCAGTTTCTGTAAGCAGGGCAATATTAGACTAGAAACAACAGCAGAATGTTTCCTTCCTGCCTTCCTTACAGGATTAGCCCTGCAAAGTGGAAAAAAAGAAAATAAGATTTCTTCCCACAACTGGTTCTCCGAACTGCTTAGAAAGTTAACAACCGGTTCTCCCGAATAGGTGCGAACTGGCTGAATCCCACCACTGCCAGAGGCTCAAGGAAAGCCTCCAGAGCCTAGGAGGGCGAAAACCACCCCGCCATGGTGCAGGAAGCCAACTAGGCCACGCCCCCATGGCCACGCCCACCCAGCAACCGGGCAGAGAACCAGTTGCTAAAAATTTTCAATCCGACCCTGGTTATAACCTTTGCAACATCCCCCACAATCACGTGATTAAAATTCGGACGTTTGACAACTGACTCATATTTACAACGATTGCAATGTCCCCGGGGTGGGTCACGCGATCCCCTTTTGCGACCTTCTGACAAGCAAAGTCAATGGGGTAGCCGGGTTCACTTAACAACTGGGCTACTAACTTATCAACTGCAGCGATTCACTTAACGACGGTGGCCAAAATGTTGTAAAATGGGGCAAAACTCATTTCACAAATGACTCAACAACAGAAAATGATTGTGGTCGTCAATCGAGGACTGCCTGTACTCACCACTATAAGTAGTGATCACCTAGGGCAGAAAGCTGAGCCAATATCAACCAGCCAATATATATATATTTCCTTGCAACGTTACCCAATATTATTTCTACTGGTTTGAGGGATCCTTGGTGCTCTCTTTGTTCGGTTGCTTTCTTGCAGACGTTTCATCAGCCAAACTAGATAACCTTCTTAATTGCACTGATGATGTTACCTAGTATGGGTAATAAAACGTCTAAAAGAAAACAACTCACGCTCGGAGAGCACCAAGGATCCTTCATTTCAGCTCTGAGCTACAGACATTCTCCTTTATAGCTACCAGAGTTTGCAATTTATTTCCCAACACTTCCCTCCATTTAATTGGCAAGCAGTGTCACAATTCTAGATCTGTGCATATCCTTCAAACAACGTATGCCAGAAGTGCTTCAGAACCGCCTTGGTCAAAAGCAAGCGGCATGAAAATACAATAGCAATAGCAGTTAGACTTATATACCGCTTCATAGGGCTTTCAGTCCTCTCTAAGCGGTTTACAGAGTCAGCATATCGCCCCCACAGTCTG